AAGAAGCAATAATGCTCTGCAGCAAATTACAAGGCCTCTTTCTGCAGTGCAGTTCGATGCTTGCTTTTCTCACTCGATCTGCAGACATTTCAAGCTGATATGGAAATGGTTGAGATTACAAATGCTTAAACATCTACTGGAAGTCTCCACTTGGAATGATAATAGAGATAGGAAACTGCTGCCTTCAAATACGATTACAAATTACTTCTGAATAATAATAAAAAGTAACTAAAGTCAGACTTTTGCACAGCTTATACAAATCACAGATTGCAGCATCAGTAATCCAAGCAGGAAGGGAGCTGCTTTCTTAAACATGAAATATTTAACTTTTAAAGGTAGCAGGCAAGCGACATTTGCATGGATGCTGCTTCAGAAGACTTGAACCTGCAAAGCAAAAAATGAGTGAGGAGTAAGTCAAAGATTCAGACTGATCTGGCAGGTGGACGCGGAAAATCCCGAAGACACTGGTGTGACGTGGAAAGTGGAAAGACAACTGAGCGGAAGGGTCCGTTTTGGTCAGAAACATGGAATACTTAATTTCAAGATGGAAATGCAGCTGCAAGATGAAAAATGGGCCCAAATAGTATTTTTACTTGAAGTAACCTGAAAAAAAAAATGCTTGTGAGGCACTGAATTTTTATAAAACGAACCCACCTCACACAGAGTGGTGAAACATGCTTTTAGAGCAGCAACGCATGTTAAGAGATGGGTAAGGCAATTAACATATATCCAGAGCTATTAAAGATGTAATATTGATGGATTTTATCCTGCTGTGCGTTGATGCTCAAGTGAACTGTCTTGCAAGGACGTGTTATTTCCCAGACATATTGGTCCTACAGTAAAACTGATTAAAAACAAAGCCCACAGCTCTATTTACACAACCAAGTTTCAGTACAACCTGGGTTATCTTTTTATTTCTTTTCCCTCTTTCTTTGTCCCCACACATGTGAGAACACACAATGCAAAGCAGGGCACAGGCCGGGGGGGATGTGAACCTCAACGTCCCATCGTTAGGAATCAGCGATGTCTCCAGCTTTTCCAGCGGCCGCTCCAAGGACACGGAGGCCCCGAGGTGGCAGCCAGGGAAGCTCCTTCTTGGCACGTGCAGGGAACAGGCCACACAGCCGCAAATTCCTGGACATCCACTCCTTGCGAGGGCCGCCACAGAGACAGCCACCGCGGAGCTGCCGTCCCGTGTCAGGATTTCTCACCTTTCTTCTGAGGGAACTTACAATATATGGTATGGATCACCCGCAGCATCAGCATCTTGCTCTGTCATTTGACAAAACAGTGAAGAATTGGATTAAATCTTTTCTTCTAGTGTTTCGTTTGCTATTTGCTGGACATTTTCACTAGACATTTCATCCCAAACTTGTATGCTGTCTCAGGATTTTTTGTTTTTTTTTTTTTGGATTGCCTCCTCCCCGCCTCAAAAACAAAAGCCAGCCAAAACATCCAACACCATGGCACAAAACCTGAATTACCTGAATTAATATTTGGCTCACTCCCACTTTCAGCCTGAATTTCTGCTAACGCCTCTGGTGCTGGCATTCCCTCAGGGATGGGAATCCGACTGCAGATCCCAGGAGCAGCAGATCAACACGTTGACTTAGCCAGTCAGCTAAGCTGCAGTGCACATTGCGAGCAAACCTCTTAAATTGCATTTGGTTTCACATCTGCAGTGGGCTCAGGTTGGTGAGAGGGAAAAGTGCCAGGCTGGAAACTCACAGAATTCAAAAGGATCCAACTCAAAGGAGTCTTAGACTGGAAAGAAGCATCATCAGCAGATCGGCTACAGACGCCGTGGGTACTCGTGCTTAACAACTCCCTGAAGCAGAACTCCTGAAAAGAAACCTTGGAAACCTCTCTATTCAGTGAAAAACCCAGGACTGGAGTTCATAGGAATACAGGGACGGGAGGGAAGGAGCTACCCAAAGCGCTGCCCTCGGGGCTCGCTGGTGGATCACAGTCACCAAATGGTTCAAGTGGCCTCTAAAGACCATCCAGTCCAACCCTCCTGCTCCAGAAGGGACACCCAGAGCACGTGGCACAGGGCGGCATCCAAGCGGGTTTGGAAGATCTCCAGAGAAGGAGACTCCACAGCCTCTCTGGGCAGCCTGTTCCAGGGCTCTGTCACCCTCACAGGAAAGAAGTTCTTCCTCATGTGGAGGTGGAACTGCCTGTGTTTCAACTTACACCTGTTATCCCTAGACCGGTCACCAGCCCCCTGGCCCCATCCTCCCTACAGTCACCCCTCAGGTACTTGTACATGTTGATCAGATCCCCTTCTCAATATTCTCTTCTCCAGGCTGAACAGGCCCAGCTCGCTTAGTCCTTCCTCATACGATAGATGCTCCAGTCCCTTAACCCTCTTCGTAGCCCTGCACTTGTCCCTCTCTAGAAGCTCCACATCCCTCTTGTACTGAGGAGCCCAGAACTGCACCCAATACTCCAGGTGCGGCCTCACCAGAGCTGAGCAGAGGGGCAGGATCCCCTCCCTCCACCTGCTGGCAACGCTCCTCCTGATGCAGGCCAGGATCCCATTGGCCTTCTTGGCCACGAGGGCACATTGCTGCCTCATGGTTAACTTGTTGTCAACCAGGACTCCCAAATCCCTCTCCATGGAGCTGCTTTCCAGCAGGTCAGCCCCTAATCTGCACTGGTGCCTGGGGTTATTCCTCCCCAGGGGCAGGACCCTGGACTTGTCCCTGTTGAACCTCATGAGGTTCCTCCCTGCCCAACTCCCCATCCTGTGCAGGTCTCTCTGAACGGCAGCGCAGCCCCCGGGGGTGTCGGCCACTCCTCCCAGTTTGGGGCCATCTGCACAACGCCCCAGCCCGGAAGGCTCCGGAAGACACAGGGGTGTTAGAGGTGGATGATGCAGGGCCAGCACATCAAAAATAAACAAAAATCTTTCAATACTCAAATCTACCAAATACACACTATTGCCTTCCACAGACAAAACAAGGAGAGTAGCTTCTGAATGCTGCAAAATCACCGTTTATATAGATGGCAGATCATACCTCAAGCACTGAGAAAGAGCAAGGAAAAATAAATACCGAAGTTGTAGAATAACCATGCTACATACAGCAAAAAGAATGTCAGTACAGATATCTCTTTTTAAAATTACTGATAGCATCAATTGCTATTCTTTTCTTTAAAGCATCCCATCCTGAAGCCAGCCAACATGCAGGTAATTCACTGCTCATTTTGTTCCTTCTGCCTTTACTGCCTATTTCCTACCTGCTTAAAACGGCTCCTCACTATTTAACAGGAGCAATTCTGCTTCAGAAATGAGAAGCACTTTCCTGCACTTTGTTTTTGGTGGAAAAATGACAGTGCTGTAAAAGGGCAGTTACAAACTCGTCTCCAGCAGCTGATGACTGCAGGCTTCAGGTTCGGACAGCCACAGATGCCTGCAGACACCGGGTGCAGGCAGCTCCGGTACCAGGAGCGCTGATTCCTATGGGACTGACCAAAGTCATCTCAGGAGACGTCTATTGCACCTCTTCGGCATCCTTTTAGGAGTTAAAATCTTACAGTTTTAATATGGAAAGAATTTAATGAATGCCACCGATTCTAACTGAATTAGGAAAGAAGTAAAATAAACATTGTCATGCTTCTATTGAAAACAAATTTTTAGGTTGTTTGTCATCCTAAGGACAGTATTCCACACACGTGTTCCCTCTGAACAAATGTCTTAAACCAAAAAGTTGCTTTGTTTTCCAAAAACTAAGAATCATGCCTTTCTAGAGTACTTAGAGAACAGAAAAGCAGATTGCTTGACTTGCTTTTGCACGGATGCATGGCTACCAACAAATGAAAAGCTGTAGCAACTCTCTGATTTTTCATTCAGAAATAGTTTTGATCCAAAAGGAACGACAACTTTCTTCACAAATGTATTAAATATCTGCTACTTCTTCCTGTGCTTGGAAATAATTATTACAAACATATTAATAAACTGACTGAGAAAACATATAACTTCTGCAATTTGGTATGATATGACTCACCAGGAACAAAATTGTAATAAATTACTCAACAGCATTCCAGAAAATATCCTTCCATTTCTTATAGCCAAGGGATACATTATTTTTCTTTTCTCCTGCTCAAAAACAAATGCTTCACTCACAAAGCTGCATTAATTTAAGATAAACCCCAGATTTTATACGCAAAAATATTTTTCCAAGTAGGATCACTGTAGTATTCCAAGTAGAACATTACTATTCTGCATGCTTATTTTTCTAGTTAAATTGGGAACAGATTCATAGAACTTTTGGGAACAAATAGAAAACTTTGGCCTTCAAAATAGATATTTTCCTTAAGCTTTATTTGCTTTGTCTAGGTGAAACAAGATTTCTTGAGGGAATAAACAACAGCATCAGATGGGGCATACTGCAGATAAGACAATTTGTCAGCAAATTTCTACTTGCAGTATCTGTCGGTGCAGTTTGCTATAGCATGTTGCAGAAAACAGCACTCTGCAAAAGCTACAGTTCTGACAAATGCCTCTCTCAAATTTGAGAGGATTTTCAGTTTGGAAATATTTTCAAAAAGAACTGAGGAGTGCAGGAAACACTGCTGATTTCCTGAGAACATGGAGTTCGTTCACTATGAGTCACTAATCCTCACTTGGGATCACTGTTAGTCTCGTAAAAGCCGAATTATGGACCAAACATTTTAGAAACAGCTTAACAACCAAATTGCTAATAAGACCATACATTTTTGGGGAAAAAAAAAACTGATCCACGACCAGATAAACAACAAGAAGAAACTGCTTCAACTCACATGTTTCTTGGAGAAGGGGAAAAAAAAAAGGTTAATGAAGACGTTTTCAATTGTCTTTAATATTTAACATTACATTCTAATAGTTTAACATTTCCAAACAAGCAGTATTTTCAAATGGGTAAGGAGAGAGGTATGGGTTGTCCTTAAGTGAGACGGATTTTTTTTTTTTTTACGCTTTGATAACTAGCAGTGCAAGCTGATCACGATGTGATTCATTAATCATCATGGCTTGACAAACAGATCACACTGAAACCTGAAGTTTCGATGCCAGGTTTTGGAGAAGACCATTCAGCAGCGCCGTGGCCCTCCGGTTCCCTTCCCGGCTGCGGCGAGCTCTGTAGGCCGCGCGGAGCAGCAGGCTGCAAACCTCCCTGCTTGCATCCCTTGTCTCGCTCATCTGAAGGAAAACAGACGAGAGAGGAAATCATTTAATTAAGTTGCTACGTGTAAGCTCCAAATATACACCGAAGCACTGGTTACTTCATATTGATAATGGTTTTATATTGTTATTAGCAACCAAAACCACAGAAAGCCACAGACTTTTCTCTCACCACTGAACACATTAGGAGCTTGGATATCTAACAGCAGTTCAGCTCCAGGACAACATTTTGCTTTCTACCCAAGTGGTCTCTTTTTAGGCTTTTTGAAGAAGGTTAGCACTTTTGAGATCTTTAATGTTTCTCAAATTTGGCTGAAAAAAACAAAGTGGTTCACAAACTTTTAAAGGAAACATTAACAAGCAGACAAGGTAACTGTGTAGGAATCATCTCCTTAATCTGCTAAAACTGTGGTAAAGTCTTGCTGGGTTTAGGAAGCCATGAAAAAAGCCTCTATGAAGTTTTCATAAGCAAAAACATGCCTCCAACAGGAAAGACAGAGAAGCACAAATCCTAGGAAAAAACTAAGTGACCACTTTTACAGACCAGGAGTAACTTTCTTCTGAGAAATACTGAGTACCAGTACTAGAACAGGACTGAGAAATACTCAAATTTTAAATCCATTTATGCTGCTTTGAGCAATACAAACAAACAAAAATCCTGATTTTTAAGTATTAGATTTTTATGCTTAGGAAGAATTGACCATTTCTGAACTTACATCTAAGATGCTTGAAATATCTTAGCTCTCTTTGCAGCATAAATACTCTTTTTAGTCAGCCAGAAGGCGTAACGACCAAAATAACAGTTTTTCAGTTTTCCATGTCATTGAACCAGACTCCTTGTACATGCCATATACCCTATACAGAATGGAAGAAATGTACATCTGTGCTACGAAAAGGAAGAATTTGGCTAAAAACATACTGTGGCCCTAAACCTATTTTCACAGGATTCCTGAACTTCTTAAAAAAATGCTTTTACAGTTGTAACAGCATTCCTACCTAGGAAGAAATTTCTTATCTCATTCTCAGATAGCACTATTCATTTTGAGAGATACAAACACTTCACTGCTTGTGAAGGCTCTCAGAAAAAACAGCAAGATATTGTAGCAAACATCCAACCCTTCGCTCGTTTTCTCTCCAGCATTTTTACCCCCAAAGCGACATTCTCTACTGTGCTCTTTTTTTTTTTTTTTTTTTTTTCTCTGAACAATCTGGCCTCCTAAGGCACCAAACATCTGCCTCTTCGTGCTAACGCCTTTCAACTATTTCTTTATATAATGGGAAGTGGACAGAGGACAGTTGGGCCACCTCTGCAGCTGACTGGTAATTAAACGAGGGATAATTAATCGGGGAAAGCAAAATGTTTGCATATGGCAATCTTTCCAAGTGCCAAGAGCAAATGAAATGCAGGTATTCCTTAGCTGCAAGATGCTGCTGAGAGTGTTTCTGTAGCTCTGTAGTCAGGACAGCAATCTTCTCAGCTGTATCCTGAAACAATGTCAAGGAAAACAATGTCAAGGAAAATATTTTAATTGTAGCTGCAATTGAGATGTAGCAGGTTTGATATAGTTGTTCTAATGGCAATCATCTTTAACCTTCTGTTAGGTGTTTTCTTTCCTAAGAGAAGGAACTTAAATCCAATACTCTAAGAAAAAAGTATTTTACTTAAACTGAAAAAAAGGAAGTAACACTTACATGGGAAATATATTCCTGGGCAATCATATGTCCACCAGAAGAAAAAAGTAAAAAGTTGATAAGAAGATGTGTTGTAAGATGCTGAGCACTGCTTTGCTTTATGTCTGCTTCGTGTACAGCATCCTGCAGATCTTTGACAGAGAGGGCTGTACGATTGAAGAGCATCATAAGTTGATTGTAGATTCCTTCAGCTGCTACCTGCAGGGGAAAAATTGAAGGGACACGGGATCTGAGAAAAGTAAAGGTCATAGCTGTGGTATTTTTCCTTTGGATCTATTCACTAACAGGAAACTGAATCCTTGGCAAACACTCCCCAAACATGAAAAGAGTCTGAATTTAAGCAGCAGGGAGAACAGGGAAGGAAGGGCAGTGCACATTTCTTTTATACTGATTCACACACACATAAGTGAACAGAAGGAATTTTATAACTTTCTTTGGTCTTGCAAACTAAACAGGCAGGGCATTGAGCCAGGGTTTGACCTTTTTTAATAATAAAAGGAAACAGAGAAAATCCCTCAGCAGAACACAGTCAGGTTTTTGCATTGTGGGAAAAAGAACAGAGGCTCCTCAAGGGCTCACTTCAATATTGCTGCTACCAATCAATTAAATCCCCATGCAACCTGACCTCAGCTGATAAAACATTCTGATAAAAATGCATTTTTTCCTTCTTCCTGTTTTGTTTGCAACTTACGTTTTGTTATGTTTTTACCTTTTGAGTTAGCCAATGCAAACTCATTTTTATTAGGAGTAGAAAACAGAAGATTTTTGGCACCTAAACAACAGAAACAGAACTATAAGGAACTAGTACAAAAAAAAATCCCTAACGATAATTCTGCTCACCGTATTAAAAGTAAACCAAATAACTGGTAAAATTTAAATAAATAAATAAATAAATAAGCACAGTAATTGCAGAGACAATTGAAAAATATACCACTGCAAACCAAAGGAAAGGCACAATTTTAGTCATTTACTTGCCTTTGTTTTTCTCATCCCTTCACCATCATCATTTCCATACAAAATAGCCTGTTATTCTAAATGCTGTTATTCTAAAAGTGAATTATGTTCAGAAAGACATATGGGGGTAGCAAACTACACCAGAACCTGAGGTAAGGTAACTGGAATTGCTCAAGGCCTCATGTGCATCCCGTTCTTGGTTGGCCTCCATCCTATCCACCAGCAATGCAAG